CTGGGAATATATACCTTCAAGTTCAATGGCATTATGTGTTGTGCGCACTTTAACTCAAAGAAAAGTAAACAAATTACCTGACGTTTGAAAAGGAAAACCGTGATATATTTGAAGACGGAAAAACAGGAAAAGTATATTTGCCGCACTGAAGATGCTTCGTTTATCGAAATGATATTGTCAGTTTGCGGAAGCAGAAAACTTCTCAGCCAGTACTTGGTTTAGTCAGGAGTCTAAAGGCGGCTCAGTAACAAAATCCGCTCCGCTACAATATCGATCAAACTAAGAGGATGATGCACCGGGAAGAACGAGTAAAAAGCTAAATCAGCAGAAAGACTCCACTTCACACCAATAGGACTGCAAGCTGACAGCAGACCGCGTTTGTACTGATTTGCGCCACAAAGTGCACTTTAAGTTGCAGTTAAGTACAAATTTTTTGATATATTAATTTTACAAAAAAATTATTTTAGAGCAAGTAGGAAAAAACCGCGTTGTTTGCACACAGGGTTGCCGGGTTATGGAAAATTAATTACTTGAAACAAAATCTTCCATGTTTTTTTCTTTATTTACATTTCCCTTTCAATATTCTACTATATTTATCTGCCATAAATAGTTGTGTTTACTTCTGAATACAATCTTTTCCCTTTTTCTATAAATTTCCGCTCAAAATTCCAAACAATACTAAAGAATGATTAAAGCTCAAACATAATGAATGTTTTTGCGTCGTGCATCATGCAAAATATTTTTTATGTGGTATTACAGTTATATATATATACTATACTATTATTAGCTACTACTGTTACCAAGAAATAAAAGCTATGGCAATTAAGAAAAATTAAAAAAAATAAATAAAAGATGAAAAACGTAAACAATAAATAGATAAAAATTATGCATTGGATGTAAGAGAATGCTTTATAGCCTAAAAACAATGGAGTTTCACTTAAAAATAACAAATGCATCTATCAACGTAAACGTAAACATTAGAGACCCGCTTTACCACCCAATATTAGTTGGTATTGTTCCTCGCTTAAGGGTCTGTGGACACCATCTTTGTTCAGATAATATAAAGGGTCAGAGATTTTATGTATATTAAAACTTTGTAGCATTAATTCACATTGCTTCATTTTAAAAGTGCTTGTGCGAGGAGTTTCTGCCATCAATCGTACGAACAAAGGTTGAGCGTAAGACGGCAAACTACCACGTTTACCCACAGATAAATGATTTAAGTCTACTTTATGTTCAGGATCCTCAATTGCAGCCATTCCAGCTTTGCCTTCGACATAAGGAATCTAAAAAAGAATAGTCTTAATTTAGATAAAGATTTTAGCGTTATATATAGTAAACAGCCTTACATCCACTCCATGTACAACACAATCTTGTAGGCCTATAGCATTGGTTATAATTGCTTCCACTTCTTCTGTAGACACATTTTCACCACGCCAACGAAATGTATCGCCTGTCCGATCTTTGAAATAGAAATACCCCAAAATGTCTACCACGATCAAGTCGCCTGAATTAAAATATACGTCGCCCTTTTTAAAAACATTGCGTAACAATTTCTTTTCCGAAGCCTTTTGATCGGCGTAACCATGAAAAGATGTAACAGCTCGCCGTGGATCGACCTTAGCCACCAGCAATCCGGTTTCACCGGCTGCACTACGTTCGCAAAGGCCATTGTGATTACATATAGGTTCGCCCGATTCTTCATCTACACGTATTACCTGTACCGAATACAAAGTGCGAGCTATGATGGGTATAAAACCAACAGCGCCCACTTGATTGGCAACATTGGCTGTTAGATTAATAAACTTTGAGTTTTAAATTTTCGTAATGTGAACCTGATTAACAGCTCACCTAAAATGGAATTGCCTTCGGTGGAACCGTACAATTCTCCTATGTTGGGTATGTTAAAACGCGTTGTTAACTGTGACCAAATTTGTGGCCTTAAACCATTGCCGTACATTAACCTTAGGTTATGCAAAGTGTCTTCAAGTTTCCTAGGCGTGGTCAATAAATACCGACACAATTCGCCTATGTATTGAACTACAGTGGCTTTGTATTTTATACAATCTTTCCAAAAGTTAGAATCTGAGAATTTTTTACGTAATGCTACGGTACAGCCAAAAATCAAAGCGTTACCCACTCCTATTATACCGCCAACGGTATGATATAAAGGCAAAGCATTGTAAACAATATCGTTTGGCCTAACGGCTACCATGTAATGAGTTCCCGCCGCTATAAACAGATATCTGAAAGTGATCATAAATATCTATTAAACAAATTGGGAGAAAAATTCATTTCGAACTTTAAGTAAGTAATGACAGCTGCCTAAGGTAAACCAGTAGTGCCTGAGGTATAGACGTATAATAGTGTATCCTTCGGTTTACATTGTTCTATATAAATTTGTCAATTTTGAGGTATCTGTTGTTTCAAATCAGCGGTTAAAACAACGGCTTCTGAAAAGAGATTTTTGAAATTTTGAAATTTCATTTTAAATTCGTAGTAAATGTAACGATTGGGATTTTGTGCTTGTAGGGAATAAAATTGCCAGTTATTCTCAACATGTTTTCAAAAGTCCACGAAACACTGTGTGTTAAACGTTGACGTATATAAGCAAACGCAATATAAATTGTCGCGTAATATATTTTAGAGAATAATCACCGAAAAACGAATAAAATTTTACAATTCATTGTTGGAAAAGGTATTGCATACATAAAAATTGCCAAAAAAAAAAAAAAAAAAAAAATAGAAATAATAATCACATTCATAAACAGGAAAAGATGAAGAAAAAAAGTTCAAGCTTATATAACATATCAAAGTTCTCTCTATATCAAAGAATCTAAATAAATTTAAATTCCGGTACTTACGTATTAACGCCACCTCGACAAAAATATTATTATTAAAATATTATTGTTATTAAAAAAAAAATTATTGAAATGTTATTATGATATTATTATAATTAGAAGCCAAAAAAACTTTTTTTTAAAGTTTTAAAGGTTGCTTTTTGTTTTTTTTTTTTTTTGCCGCTGTGGCGTTAATACGTAAGTACCTAAATTCTTTTTAAACTTATAGCAGGCTTACTGGTATTATAAAGATGGCATGCAACTAAATAAGATTTGCACAACATATTAACGAAATTTTGACTCACCATTTTTCATTTCAGATGACGAGCATTCACGCGAAACACATCGAACTGAAGATTTGAATTAAAGTATGTACGCGTCGTAAGCACTTAAGTTGTTAAAAACGGTTTTAAACCATATCAAAAAATATTCAAATGTGGTTAAAAAAATTGGAGCAAAATAAATATATAATCATAAAGTAAAATTAAATCTCAAAAAGAAGTAACAGGAGTAAAAAATTCACTGCCTAAAAAAAAATTAAATTAATAAAAAAAAAAAATTAAAAGAATTCTGCCAGTTTGGTATATTTTTTTTTTTGCTTCTTTTTTCCTATTCTTTCGTCCGATGTTCGTATTTTTCGATAACTAATTAGTAAAAGTTAAGTTGTTGATTATTCATCCTACGATTATTTCTACCATTTCTTACGAAATTTTTTAAGTTAATCAGATAAATTTGGAGAAAATATTCAGAGCTTGATCTATGCTTTATATGTGGCAATTTTCGAACTTTTTTTTTTTTTTTGAATATGTTCCCGAGAATTCTGGTAACAGACGAAAGAATGGACATGTTAGCGATTGGATTGGCTCAGTCAATATTATATGTATGGCTTTGATATAACTTTGGTTAAATATCTCGGTTTATTGTAAACGAATTTTGTACCCAATTTATCTCGCGTAGTGCGTACTAAGAAGTATGTTGAAAACATCTTTTTAATACTCAAAATTAATTCGTATTTGAAATTAAGAAAATGTTTAATAAATTAAAATCATTTTATATTTCTTCATTTACGCTTGAATCTAAGATGTTTAGGTTTTGAGCTCTTCCCTAGACCAACTGTCAAAGATATGTGACGTAGCCGATTCTTACCACAGCCCGAGGTCGCATATATGTGACAAATGCTACATAACTATTGAAAAATTTATGCAGTCATAAGGAAGCCGCTTTATTTTAAGAATTTGTCCACAATTGCAGATTACAGAAAAAGACTGAGTTGTGCCTACGATAGTATTGTAAATTTGATTCCATAATTTTTTCTTTAAATTTGCTGCCACGACATTATCCATAATTAGAGATGTAGAAGCAGCAGACCTCACCACTCGACCAGCTTGCACATTTGTCAATAAACTGATATGACTAAGAAGCCAAAGTGTTTTAACCTTTTCACCGCATGTTGCGGTGATGCTCCAGCTGAAAGTCGGGGTATTCGAGATACCTTTGAACAATAACAGTTTTAAGTGTGCTTGTACAAGCAAAATTCGTAGCTTGAAGGATAGCTCCGGATTCAGTTGTCAAAGTTGTCGAGAGCCGGCGTTAGGTATGCGATTAAGCAAAAGTTGTTCTGAAGCATCTACCACGACGTAGGCAGGTGTCAGAACGTCAGATTTAGAGCCATCTGTATATAATAGACACCTCGCGCTACCTTCCAGTATTTGAATTTTTTTTAAAAATTAGATTCCTGAAGTCGTAACTTCAAATCTTCGTTTTTTTTATACGTAGAGAGCGACATGTCACAAGAGTTTCCTTCTTCAAAACCCACGTTAGTTAGAAGTTAAAGGTAAAATTTCCGGAATATTTTTAGTGTAATATTCAATTTCTTTGCGACGTATACACAATAGTCAATTGCAGACGGTGTTTCCTTAATTTCTTTGGCAGAGCCTTCTATACATCTTCGCCGGGTGTAGATTTGTTTGAGTTAAAAGGCTTGGGAATGATTTTGCTTTCTAATTCCTAAAGTCTATTTTCTAAAGGTGGGAGATCAATTTCAAGCATAATATTGTTGATGGAAGCTGTGCGAAAAGGTAAACGCTCTAGGAACTTGGTCATAAATTATCACATCATAGTCAATCGTGCTTAAAGCAAGGATTAAGTTAGGCAATGGCGTTAACTCGTGCATGGCTTTTCCAAGCAATGCATTGTGTAAAGTCCGCCTTAGTTAAAATATAATTTTTTAACTGAAGATAGTGTGGTTTGCAACGTTATTTGTTGGAGAACGTGAGCCCCAGAACGTTGCGCAAATTAACATTTTGTATTGATAAATTGTTAATGAGCATCAGCCGATTTTCTGCATAACCAAGACGCTTTATACAAAAGTGCATCTTTTTCGATTGCTGGAATTGAAATTCTAGAGCCTTAGCAGTTCGACCAAGTTGAAATCTCTTCAAGCATGGCGACTGATTTCACGTTATCCGTTTCTTTTGTCAAGTCTCGGAATATGGCAAAGAATATTACTTATATTGCGATGGAGACATTTTTAGACTTTGGAAATAAAACAACTGCCATAAGTTTCCACATGGTATTGTATAGGTCCAGCAGTTTTTTTTTTTTTGCAGAGATTGCTTTGAATGGTATTTTGGACAAAACAGTACCGCGACAGTTGTTTCTTCCCCTACCACTGGTTGTGCTCCAACTTTTGAAGCCGCGTATATAATCTAAGGAGAAGAAAGAACCCAGATTAAAATTTTAAAAAAGTCTTGCATTTACATATAAATTCATAATAGAAATAGGATTTGCGAAAAAAGATCGTCGACTTTTTCGGTTTATCCATGCATTTATACAGTGTGCACACATATACCCCCACTGAGTAATAATTAATAATAATAAATTTAGGGACGAAACAATGAACTCATATGAAATGTTGTTGAACCATTTTAAAAAAATGTTCACTAAAAGGCAGCTAGCGTGGGCAAATCTAAAAGAACAACAAAATATTATGCCATGCAAACAAGAAAATTGCTGCGAAATATTTAAAAAAGCCACAGAGCATCGCTTGATAAGTTTTATTTGCCTTCTTTGCCAGTTGCCAAAAATCTCAATATCGACAGTTGATGTAAATTTTGTAGAAAAGTGAAAAGGAAAATAATAGCAGACTGCTCTTTCAATACGGTCCACCTATTAGTACCTATGAAGCGCGCACACCAATTGCCAACTACTTTGGAAAAATGTATAAAAGTCTAGTAAGTTGGTCAAGAATTACATCCTTCATTTTTAAGTTTTGTTTCTCTAATAAATATTTATCTGAACATTTCATAGCGAAACATTTTTATAACATCCGGTGCTACGCAGGGCCTTCATATGGTGCTTTATACTTTAATTGATTTAAATTATTGTTTTCGTGGATGAGATCACTTATATGATAGGTTTAGATGTTATAAGATAGTTCCATGGTCTTAAAACTATACCAGTCAGTCCAGTCATACCAGTTTCACATCATCAGCATACATTAAGATCTGGCTGGAATTAACCACCGATGGGAGATCGTTAATGTATAAACTAAATAAAATGGAACCTAAGTGACTTCCTTGAGGTACGCCAGACGTAACCGGAAATTCATCCGAGGTGATGAAGTTAAACAAAACTCTGAAGGATCTATTGTGCAGATAAGAGCTTATCCATTTCACTAAGTAGAAATGGAAGCCAGAGGCTTGGAGTTTAAAGATAAATAAGTTATGGTTAACCATATCAAATGCTTTGCTTAAATCAGTGTAAATAACATCTGTGCAAGAGCCACTAGAAAAAGTCTTGAAAACATGACAGGTAAACTCTAACAAGTTAGTGACTGTAGATCGCCCTTTCCGAAAGCCGTGTTGGTGCGGAGCAATATACGAATTGATGGCAAATGCCAAATGCTGAGTCACAATACGCTCGAACAACTTGGGCATAAGGAAACTACTCTTCCAACATGAAGGGAAAACACCTAAATACAAGGACATGTTGAAAATCTTTGAGATCACACCACATAACTCGACAGCGCAAGACATAAGTACACATGATGGAATTCCATCAGGTCCAGGCGAACAACTGTATTTTAGAGAGCTCAACCTTTTAAAAACGTCATCTTCCGAAATAACCAAGTTAGGTATTAAAACCGAGTTAGTTATAGGGTATGGGTAGTTTGCTGATAAATCGAAATTAGCAATCGAAAAGTTTCGTCGGAAATACTCAGCAAATAGATTTGAGATTTCAAAATCATCCGAGGAATCAGAGCCATTAAAAGAAATATGAGAGGGATATGTGGATATTTTTCTTTTAGAGTTAATAAATTTTAGAAAAGAATTTAGGATTAGCAAAGCAGAGCAGAGAGGATTTAATGAACTGAAGGTGTCTGCAGTAATAATGATGGAGTTGATGGAGTGATGATGAATTGAGGGAGTTAAATCTATGCCTCGCCACCGAGTAAGCGATATAGTCGAGCGCAGAGCCACTTTTCGAATATTTTTTGAATAGCGAGTTTTTTTTATTCTTGTGATATTTAATTGTCTTATTAAACCACGGGGGACACCTGCTTCGAGATTGACACTGGTTGATCGGAACAGATGCAGCAATAGCTAGATTCAATGTATTGTAAAACGATGACAATAAGCTTTCAATACTACCGGTTGAGAAATCAAGCCTCAAATGTGAAAGACAATGTTTTAGCAATACAATATTGATTTTATGAAAATCGTAATATTTATTTAAAAAAGTTTGATTTGGCAAATTAAGGCATTTCAACGAACCATCATTCATATGATGAAAGGAAATGCATATTGATGGATGATAAGGATACTCAGGTAAACTAAAAGGTGGACAACGATTTACGTTAATCTCGGGAAAATTGGCAAAGTAGAGATCAAGCAGTCTACCATTACAATTAGGGGTACGATTATATTGACCCAAATTATGATCAAACAATTCACTAAAGAACACAACAGCCCTATCAGACGTTGGAGTAGAAATCAAACAGCCAGAATTATCACTGTTACACCAAGTGACTTGAGGGAAGTTGAAGTCACCCAATGCAACGACCAAATCGGTGGGTTTAGACAGCTTGGCCACTTCACAAATGAGGGCAGCGTGTTTCTTGTAAATGGGAGATATCAGAATTTGGGGGAATATAGGAGCAGGTTATAAATAGATTTTTATTAGGCATTTTCGCACGAATGGCAATAAATTCAGGAGAAATGGAAAATTCAATTAAATTGGACGGGACTGACGCAGATGTGGCAATTAATACACCACCACCAATGCGATTCACTCGATCATTTCTAAAGACTTGAAAAGAATTATGAAAAAGTTCTGACGAATGAAGATCGGGTTTTAGCCAAGTTTCAGTGAAGGCCAAACAGAAAAATTCCGTGCTCACTGAATTTAGAAAAGTGGAACGAATTTTCGAATTTAGGCCCCTAACATTTTGATAAATGAGAGATAGTGGGCCTGAAGAAACAATTAGTTTTTTGAAGGCGACAAGACTATTGCCTTGGTATTACGGGGACGACCTCAAGGGATAAATTCCTTAATTAAGGATCCTACTGGCCACAGTGATTTGTTTAACAACATATCACTGTTTTCAGTCGGAACTAAAATTTTAAAAGAGGAGATTGCCCTAGCTTGAGAAGGAGCCATTTTGAAGATGCTAACACGCTTTAAGTTAACTGATGGGACTTTCGTCGCCAGATAACCTTTTATGTTATCTACCGATGTTTCAGGTGCCAGTCTTGACACAAATATTGCTTTTCTGGGAGGAACTGCCGTCAAGCAAATGTCATTATTTGGAACAGGAGGGGGGTTCACGGTAGGAGAGTTTCGAGTTGGGGAAAATATAGATGGGGTTATCGCCCTTGTACCGGCAGCTTGTGAGACTTGCCCAGTCTGGTGACCAGCATTCACACGCGAACAGCCAGGAGGAGAGGATGATTTATTTTTCTCTTCATTACTTTTAGGCGATGGCGCTTGATTAGAGTGAGTGGCGGCTCTGGGCGGAGATACCCTTGCCACTTCAGCGTAGCTTAAAACCGATGGACTTGCCGGTTTGTTTGTAACTGTTTTGCTACCAACCGACTCAGCAATATCGGAAACATTACTGTTCATTTTAGAGTTAGAGGGAGCGGTAATTTGTACCAACGAATTAGATTTGGAGAAACCCAGAGGTGACGTCCCACACGCTACGCTACAAGTAGAAGATGAGTGCCCAATAAAACGACACTCATCAAACCTAGACTTAATTAGCTCAAACTTTTCCCACAAGGAGCCGAGATTTCTACTCAATTCCGAGAAACCATTACGCGTCTCCGTGGAAAGTTTATAAAAGTCAATGTCCCGCTGCCTACAGTCAGGACATGACGATCTTAAGCCTTTAGACGGGTCACCGACTGCGTCAGCAGCGCGGCCGAGAATACCGGCACCGAGGACAATTATAGAGGACAAGTTGTATCAAATGAAAGTTTTTCCAAAATTATAGGTGCAGGCATACGTTCAGGGTGGATCGAAGCTCCTCACCGAATGAAAGTCGTTTCAGATAAAAGGTAATAATATAAAGTTAAGTTAAATACAAACATTTTCACACAATTAACTTTTTTAAAAATCAGTGAAATTACCAATAGCGATTACTATATGAAAAATTACACCTCTTGTTTGGTGTCGTTTATTCAAATTTAATTCAGCTCAAAAAAATGTACGATATCTTCACCTACATGACCTAAAAAGAACGCATGTTGTCTACTAGCGAAATTTTAAAGGAAAATTTGCCGAAAGATTGCAATATATAACAATCCAAAGGTGGCTGTTTTATATGGATACGATAACCTGAGCAATGGATTGCAGCAGAATTTTTAGAAATGTGCATCAATGAGGAGGAAATGGTTTTTATAGCCGGTCCACGCTTTGCTGCTACTCAAGATCAAACTGTTCATTGCTTTCGATTGGCAACAGCTTTTCATAATGAAGAAAAAATAAAGAACACTGATTTAAGAATTTTTCAGGCTTTAATTCGCTTTTTAAACAAACAACGTTATCGCGGATTTTTAAAAAATACTTAGTTCTTACACTTATAATGAACAATTTATTTATTTATTTAATACAAGAAAAAAATTATCTGCAAGTTACGCCGCATTTATACCGTATACGAAATCGCAAATTAAAAAAATTGTGTTCATAAGATACTTTAAGTATAATAAGCTTCCTGAGCGAAAGCATGCAATGTCATAACCAAAGAACTAAATAAAGTTTTGTGGACCGCTTATGATGTATAATACATGTGACTGGTACCCAATCCAATAAGCTTAGTTCACAATGTAACAGAAAAATTCTATAATAACTAATATTAATTCAAGGATATTATTTCAATTTTCAATGTTTGGCCAAGTCAAAATGGAATTACCTATGTGTGCATCAGTTAGCCAAATTTATAAGTACCACCTATCGAATTCAATCAAAAAAAAAAAAAAATTCGTACTTGAATTCGGAAAGGCTCTGTGATCGTAACAGGGATTTTAACATACGATTTTTCTTTTTTTGAAGACAAGAAACTCGACTAATTTAAGCCGATTTTAAGCCGATTTATATTTATATTATGTTTCCAGAGATATTTAACAGAGGATACGTAATAAAAATGATAAGCTAGATATCAACTGGAGATACTTAACAGAAAATAGGGAATAAAACTACGTAAAAACTAAGTGTCTTCTCCTGCATTGTGTTTCTTTTGCCTATGCTTTTTCAAATCAATTTTACGCCAAAATTTTTGAGAACAGTCGGCACATTGCACGGTTTTTCCGGTGGTATGTATGGCCAAGTGCTGGCGTAAATGACCCATTTGTGTAAAACGTTTAGCACATACGTGACAGATATGTCTACGCTCATTTTGATGCTGACTTAAAACATGTTTCTTCAAATGATCCACCGTTGCGTATTGTTTATCGCATAACTGGCAAATATGGCGTTTTTTTTGTGTATGAACTATACGTAAATGCTGTTTCAGTTGTGTTAAAGTTTGGAAAAATTTACTACAGTACGGGCAGGATAACAATGCCTTTGTCGTTACCATTGCGCATTTTCCAGAGTTTAGATGTAATGTAAATTCGTTTAGAGTTGCAAACGTTGTACAGCAATTTTTACAAAAAACTAGTTGAAAGTTATGCTTCTCATTTAAGTGCTTCAGTAAGGATTGCGGTTGCTTATATTGTTCCGCGCACTGAGGGCAAGGAAATGCTTCACAAGTTCCCTCATTCTTTAGAAGTGTTTGCAAAGGATTTGGTTGCAGCATATCGGGTAAATTAAGATCTAAATGTTCCCAACATTCAGAAAATTGGAAAGAATTTTCATTTGTGTGTGACATTAAAAACTCATCTAAGAACTCCTCGTGCATTTCTAAATCCATATTATCATCAGCTAGAACTGATTCTGTGTTTATTATTTGCGTGACATGATTTTGTAAAAAGTGATTTTTAGCTATCTCACGTGTTTGGAACACAACTGTCTCTGGACATTCCCCACAGTAATAATTGAAAGTAGACCGTTGATGGACTCTCTTACAATGCTGCAGTAAATAACCTTTCGATATATAAAAACGACGACAACTGTAACACTGAAGTTTTCGATTATTATGCTGCCGGCCTACATGTTTATCCAATGAGGCTTGACTTTTATATGTTAAATGGCAGTATTGGCAAACGTAACATACCGTAACATCTGCGCAATCATTATTAAATGCATGTCTTTGCTCATGCTCCTTTAAAGCTTTAAATCTGGTGAATGATTTGCTGCATTCAGAACATTTGTACATACGACTGTTTCGATTTTTTAAAACAGTTTCTTTCACAATTTCAGTATCTAAATTAATTTTAGGTAATATTTTCTTGAGATTCGACCCCAGTGGGCTCAAAACTTCTACTTCTACATATGCCCCCATTTGTGAACGAAGATCCTGGGTAACTTGTACTGCATTAAGTTGTTTGTCAGCCAGCTTTATCTGCTGAACAAATTCATAAATAGCTTGTATCTTTGCTAAACAATTACCGCATATCCTTCTAAATTTATCTCCTAAAATTAACTTTAATTATTTTGCTATTAATATAAATTATTTATCTTTTAGTATATAATCTTACCTTCACTATGTCTCCGTTAAAAATATGAATCAAATCACAGCATTTCACAGGACTATTATCACAAATAAGAATATTGGATTCGTGAAAATTTCTAATGTCATCACAGCTTTTTGAACAAAAATTACAACAACTCATCATTCTCTTTTGTTGGAAACTATTCGTCCTATCGAATAATTCTTCAAAATGTTAACAATATTGTCATTTTTGTCACTCAAGTAAATGCTGCTTCTTATTAAATAAACCATTCATTGAAAAGGAAAAAATAATTCTAAAAGCAAACGGGAATGCTGTTATTGGTATTTTTACATTAAAAAAATGCTTTAAAAGTTTTAATCTGTTTATGAACTTTATGGTCCAGATTATTTTAAGATGCCGATTGACTTCGTTGGCATTAATTTTTTATATTTATTGTGCGTCTTTATGTCTCATAGTCGATTTAAGCATTTGTGCTTGATGAATATCATTCTCATCCTCTTTAGTCGCAAGCTCTATTATTTTTGTCGTAAGCGCTATTATTTTTTATGAATGTCGTGTAGCTAATTTAAAATTTGATCAAAAGCTGACCGAGAATAAGAGATATACAAGTTTGGCATATCGATGATATAAATAAAAAAATATATATTTTGAAGACTAAAAGAATTAAATTTTAAAAAGAATTAATTACTTTTCTCGGATCCGAAAGAAAAATCCTCATTTGCTGATTGACCATTATTTTAAATACTATGCTCAACTGTTATAAAAGCGTGAAAATAACACAACCATCGAGAGTTGAAATTTAAAATTCAATACATAATCATTTCAAAAGGAAAAGTAAAAACAAGCAACTGTTTGTACAATTCAGCTGACATACAAATTCAAATAAAACAGACAACAACTGAAACATCTGAAAAAGTGAAATATCGCATTTTGGGAATAGGAACAACGTTACACACCACTGCGAAGCTCATCTCATTTAAAAAACATCACTACATGTTCCGACTCCATTCCATTTCATAATTTGACTGTTTATCATCTCTACATCTACAAAACTCAATCTGCGAAATACGATTTGGCCACAAATCCGCATCATCTCCCTCAAAACAAAGGACATTAAAATTCACAGGGTCAGAGCTTATGCCCACAACAGAAGTAAGTACAGTGTATTTATCCAGTACAGAAAAAATGATTTGCAAATAATCGAATTTGGCCGAAATTTTCACAGTCTTCCTGGTACCACTTCCCAATCTTCACTTTAAGAAAAAAGAATAACTTGCCAGCTAATCTTAATTAATACAGATGTATTGCCTTAGTTTCCTTGCTTAGAAAATTTTTCGGGAAAGGGTTATACTCACATCTAAAATAGTATCTCGGGTCCAAACATAATCTCACCAATCTTCAATTTGGTTTCAGACATTACAGATTTGCCCAAGACACCATCGTCACTTTGTGGTCAGCAATAAATATGGCTCTATATTCTCATTGTCTGCTTTCTGGAAATACCCTCATCGTTTGATCAATATCAACATCTTAAAGTCTACCCTTCTCTTTTTGAATATCCATACCAAATTCTGTAATTCCTTATATAACCTCTTTCTCCACAAGAACATGTTCAATAACAATGATGATGTTGATGTACAAAAGAGATCAAAGGAGAGGAGGGTGTTCCCCGGGGATCTGTATTGAGTCCTCTTTGCTTTCATTTTTATATTAACAAAATTTTCAGTTCTGGCGATCTTGTCATTTTTAGTTCCAGCTCTGATCCAGATTTGTGTAAGCGCAATTTGCAATCTGCCCTCGAAATTATTTTCTCTCGTCTTGAATCACTTCAACGCACACTTTCAGTCAATAAAACCAAATGCTTGATCTTTCCAAAATAAGGTTACTCCTGTGCTTGTCTATAGTTCTTCTAACCTGTTTGTTAAAACTTTTGACCCTTTGGGCTTTGTCCTACACTCAAAATTTTCCCCAGCGGTTCACATTAACAAAACTGCCAAACAAGTTTTACACTCATTAATGGGTTGAAATCCATTGATGGTATTTCTTGGAGCTCCGACCCCTCTTGCATGGTTAAACTCTATCTTGGCTTAATCAGGCCAAAATTAGAGTACTCCTATTCAATCTTATTGAACATCCCAAAGAAGGGCCTTCTGAAATTAAGCAGACTCCAATGGAAATGCCTTCTTCTGGCTCTTGGTGATATGAATTCTACACACACACTAAGCTTGGAACAAATGGCAAATGTTATGCCTCCACAACATTTGGTTTAATCGCAAATTTTTTATTTAATTATCTGTCATTTACAACTTTATATCGCTTAATTCCTTGCCTTTCTTCTTTAATATTTTTTTGGGCAAAACTAATAACATTCTAAAGACTGATGTACATACTTTATTCAAAATTCCTCAGTATTCCATTCTTATCAGTGAGAAAATCCACAGTTACATCACCGCTACTCAAACTTGGTCAATACCAAATGGAAACATTCTTCACTCATCTTTACTGAGGGATCTAAGACCGATATTTTAGGCAACGGGTTTTGGTTTCCAGATATTAATATAGAAGCCTGCTTCTCAAATCACCCATGTAGCATTATATTTTCCGCTGAATGTCTTGCGATCTTAGAAGTCATCTACTTAGCGAGTACTCAACCTCTAAAGGAATTGCTTATAGTGTCAGACAGTAAATCTGTCTTATACGCTTTGCAATTATTTCCCTCAGGTAAAACTCTTGCCTACATATCAGAAATCAGATCCTTACTTTGTAGCTTCAAGTCTGATGCATATTGTTTTCACTTTCTCTGGGTGCCCAGCACATGTGCATTTTTGTCAACGACACTGCAGATAAAATTGCATCTTCCAAACCATCTCATTTTAATGCTCATGCCGTGATTGCTGCAGATCTGAGGACAAAAAGCATTCAATACTTCCTTAGCAACAGCGATGGGATAAACGCTGGGGATCATTTATACTTTTTACTTCCGCAAATTATAAACCAAGGGGCGCGTCTCAGACGTGACGTAATTTGTCTTATTAACAGGCTGATGCTTACAAGGGATGTAATGATCATCTATTCAAAATTAACATAGTAAACAACCCTGTATGTACATTTGGAGTCTTACAATCTCCTGATCATATCCTATCTGTCTGTCTGAATGTTACTCTATTCTCTTCTATTCGCCATTGCAGAAATCGCAAATTGAGTATATGTGGTCTTCGTGACCACAGCATTCTTGACATTTTGCGCTTTCGCAGTTTACCAGCTTACTTACGCAATCTTTCCTCTTTTAAAATCATGTAAACGCGACATATAAGCTCTCTTTTACACTTTTTTACTCTCATACTCCTCAATTCTTTCATATGACACTTTATATTCATGTACTAAATTATTTGTTACACAATAGAATTTAGTCCTCGCTGTTCTGTTTTATCCCACGTGGCGGATGAGTAATATGCATATTTTAATAAAAATTAAAAAAAAATAATGGGACGAACGTATAAAACGCAAATTAAAAAAAAAAAAAAACTTTAATTAAATAGTCGGTAAAATAAATAAATAATAACATCATATACGAAATCTAACCCCTACTTTACTAAGGCCCAAGCAAAGAACTCTGTGTTCTCATTGAGCCTTTTTTATATATTCCAGAGAAAAACAAAATATATTTTTTTGACTACTAAGTATGCAGTGATAAATTTAGAATAGCAACCATTCTACGTTGACGATGTGTAATAGAATCCTCTTTACATGTTAATTTGCCGCCGCGTTAATCATTTTTTTTTTTTTTTTTAATTGAAATTCTAATTTTCAGTAATTTTATGGCGAGATTTATTCCAAAGCAATATTTAAAAAATATTAAATAAGATTCTACGTTATGTTAGTCATAAAATAAACCAACTTTAAATTTAATACGGTTTCGAATAGACTCTCTGGGGTTCTTTTTAAAATCTCGAGCTTTCAACTCATCTTGATAAGCTATAACTTGTGCAATAAATTTTTCTTTCTTCCTTCTTAAACGGGTTCTGACGCTGGCTTTACCAGTCTCCTGCTTTATAGGCTTTATCGGTGACTCGTCAATTTCCTCCACTCCCGTTTTAAGTTGAGCCTTGTCTTTGCTTAATTCGATAATGTCTTTTATAGATGGTAAGGAATCTTTCAAAGGATTCAAATCAATAACATTTTCAGTTTTCCCGTAATGTTTCCCATGGTCTCTTAATTGTTGCTTCTTAATAAGACCCACTTTTTGAAATAGACATTTCCGTTTACGATGCGCATTTCCCCTTTTCTTTGTAATTTTTTTTACCGACGAGGAATCCAAATTCGCAGTCACATTTTCTTTAATTGCTTGTATTGGCAATTTTTTATAGATTAATTTCTTTCTCTGAATTTTTTTATTAGTTCTTCCCATAATTACTATAAAATTATAATCATTTTTAATAAAAAAAATGCAAATTTTCGATATTTCTTCACGACTTCTACTTAGTTTTCTTATACTCTTGAATCCATCAACAGTTTTTCTTTTGCACTATAGAACCGATGTGGGTAACCTTTTCGACTTTGCGGGCTAACCGGGACACTTAAACAATGATATCATTCCCTCTTCCCCAACTAAAACTATATGAACATAAGGACGACTTGATGATGTCTTTCGCCCTTCTAAAGGTAATACATTGTTGTTTTCTGGAAACATTAGTAAATCATGTTAACGTAGCGCCATTGCTTTTTAAAAGAGTCCAAATTATCCGGTATTATGAACTCTTCTTACACAATTTTTTTAATGGCTGCTAATAGTTGACGTGCCATCTTTCGGCGACGACTGTAGAAAGTATACACGCATGACTCACGCGTTACTTTTACAATTGAGACAGCTGTTATAAAACGAAGGGTGCTTCATAATGAATTTTTATCAGTAACTTAAAAAATATATTATTGCTTGCTGTTTTTCAAATGTTCAATGCGTTTTTCTTTTAAATTAAAATTTTTGAAATTTACTTAATACCAGTTTCCAAAACGTTCAACGGCTTTTAACCATTTATTTAAAAGCTTCCTATTCGCTTCATATTCTTCCACGCATGGGTCAAATAAACGATCTATTTTACGGAATTTTCTTATTTCGCTTAAAGTTTTCCATAAGCCATAATTGAATCCTGCCGCAAAACAAACACCCATAATGCTGCTTTCAGGACATTGAGGACGTTCTACTTGTTTTCCAGTAGCATTGGCCAAAAATTGGCATATGAAACTGTTACGTGAAACGCCACCATCTACCCTGGATATAGATAAGAATTACATTAAATATGAAAAGGCAAAATAATTTTATAGCTTAAAGCTACCTTAATACTTTTATCTGTCGCTTACTCTCTTGTTCCGCAGTTTCACATAACAATACCAAACGGAATACAATACTTTCCAGTAAGGCACGAACTAGATGACATCGGTTTGTGGAGGGTTTAATGCCTATAAAACCGGACGCGGCTTTATGATCATTCAACGGAGCCTAAAGATTTCCTGATATAATTTTTCTCTTATTCTCCACATATCGATAAACTTACTCCTAAACCACTAAATGCGGGTATAAAGAAAACTCCATCGCTATCTTTTACTGACTCCGCTATGCTAGACGTTTCTATGGGATCAGTGTACAAGCCGCAATGTTTACCCCAAGAAATAATGGTACCGATATCGTGTACCGCTCCTTCAACACAATAGACAGTTTGGTTTTTAAATTGCCAAGCTACCAATGGATACATGCCTTTTAAAGAAGCCTGGCAGTTTGTGCCAGTAATAAGATTTAAAAATGCTCCTGTACCCATAGTAATCTTAACATCGTCTTTACTAAAGCACTGATTGCCGAAAATGGCGGCAGTCTGGTCGCTTATTGATGAAGTAATGGGTATATGGGTATTTTGCCAATCCACAGTCGTAAAACAAGCCGGGTGTACAAAACCTAGGCTTTTATAAGCGTTATTCACAAATTTTGGCAGCAATGTGCTCTGTAAAGATTAATACATTAAATTATTAAGTAGCGAAGAAATGCAGAAGTTCACCTCTATGCCAAAAATTAGTTTCATAATAGGCGACCAATTCAATATAAAGGGATCAAATAAGCCGGTGGCAGTACAAGATGTAATATCTGATATGTGCTCAATGTTAGGTTCTTTGCCATTTCCTGATCTATTTTAAATGCTGTTTAAAAAACTTGAATATTGAATTACATGAATACTTTTTACATTACCTTAGTTTATATAATATCCATGAATCTAAAAGCTCGATACGAGCTTTTTTTAGCTTAATTTTTGCCCTTAAACGATCATTTCGTTGTATTTCATGTAATAAACGAAGTGTAACTTGCCCGTTCATCATTTTTAAAAAACTTCCAGCCAAGAAGCGACTACTACGTGTCAATAGATATAAAACGTAGGAAAAACCCTTAAGTGCTTTCAGAGTATAACTGCCATTCCATTCATCTACCATGAAATCGGCTCGCAAATCTTTCCATGTTATAAAATTTTGATAGTATTCTTGAGTTAAATGATTCCATGTCAGGAATGTGCAGCGTTGTGAGGAAATACCAAAGCATGATAGCTGATCTGGTCTTATCTGCGCAACTAATTAAGTGATCCAATAGGTAAAAAGTTTAATGGTTTTCGGCCTACCTACCTATCTTGGAATTAATACATAAAAATTACAAAATATTTGGTTCAACGTAGGAGTCAGGAGTGTCAGTCAGTAGATCCTTCTTATGTATGATTCAAAATCTCTTATGATGTATAAAATGCTGTGTTTTTTTCGTATTCACATAGGAAAATAACGCCGTTTTTTCAACTAAAATTTTAAGCTTGGTTCGTACATATTTGTACAAAGTTTCAGACAGATATTTGCTAGGACTTGTAAATTGCACTCTTTTCGCCATTATAATTGATTTTCTAATATGAACTGTGACAATAAATCTGATGTATATATGGCATGTTTTATTTCTTCTATTCAAAGCTTACCCGCTTAGATTGTCGCTGCTAAAGCTTATTTCGGCCTTTCAAGCGGCACGATAAGTCAAATATTCCCCATCATTTTTTGATGGGTATAAGAACTTACGCAAATTCAAGCACAAAAATTAATAAAGTATATTAACTTTAATCAAAACAAAATTAGATCAAATCGCTTCATGTAAGCTTGCAATGAGAATATAAAAGTTTGTTTACCTTTAACAGCATCTTCTATGACCGCAACAATTTTACTCCATAACGCTTCAGGCTCAATTTCAAAATAACCCGGTTTTGGATTCAACAATTCGACCTGTATAAATGTAAACACTATTATCCGGTCATTCATCTTTTCTTTTTCTTTCTCCTGAACATTTTTGCCTTTTCAATTCAAATTTAACAAAACTATCTTACCAGTTGTACTGATGAGCCTTTAATTTCACAGTTTTCATTCAGAACAAAACAACGGACTGTTGTTGTTCCCACATCCAACGCCGCAATATATTGCATACCTTTTCCTTTGTCGTATACAACACAACAATAATGACATCAGTCCGCTTCAAATTACTCAATTGTCTTTAGTGAAGTTTGTGAAATAAGAACTGAATTATTATAAATTTATAATAAAAAATAAATAAAACAAAAGACAGAATATTTTCTTAAACTTTTTACACCGAACTCTCTAAACTCAAAACAACAACTATCGAAACTGATAGCAGCAGGTCATTTCGAAACAACAGCGCATATGTACGATTCCGCGTGTGTGCATGTATGGACATATATGTATTCTTATATTTTTATTAAACGTAAAGTATTAAACACAAAAGTTGATTAAAAAGAATTTCAACCCCCCAACCATTGGAGAGAGCAAATATGTAAGCAAGAATATCACGTAGAGTAAATATAACGTTTTCTCGTTCTCTCAATTCAGTTTTTCAGATTATCTTGAAAAGTTTTCCAATGTATAATTGTTAACCAACAAGATCTATATATATTAATTCTTTTTCTTTAAAAGATTTCATTATATTTCTGGTCACCTTCGCCATTGGAATAGGCTTGTCTCGATAGCACAATAAAGATGACTTTTTATTGGAATAATATATCAATCGTTATTTGCTTACAATCGCAGTAGGGTGCAATGATTGTAAATCTTTTTATATCCAACTACGAGATTCATCTTATAAAATAATCCTCCCGCATCCCACGAAGTTTATTCGCCCTGAATCAGTGTTAGCTTCAAAATACGTGTATGGATTCGTTAATTGCGGATAGACTTGAGGACACAAAAAAATTGCAATGTAAATATGGCATTTTTCACTTTTACTTTTGATAAATCACAATACGGTAAATGCGATAACGATTATGATTCGCGGTCATTAAGCAAGAATCAGCAATTACTGAATCTGAAAATAAATTAAACTAAAATTGAACAAGCATAATTCTTGAGATCAATTTTTTGATCTAGTGACCTAGTGACATTCGCTCAAGGATCGATATGTAAGATATGTATATATTTTTTGAACAGTTTAAATTGCTGAGAGTATTTAAACACGATCCTCTCTCTATCCGTCTATTGTCTATTATCAGAGCGCTCAAAACTGGAAACTGGTAGATATCTGAAGCCTCTCAATGGGTGATCACAAATTGAATTTGAAACTGAAATGTCGCACGCAGCTATAAACGGTAGGAGAGTCGTCACAACTGCAATTTTACTTTACTAATTACTTTAGTGATTTTATTGACTTCAATGATATAAAATCAATAGTAAAGTCAAAGTACACATCACTTCAGTGGCAAGCGATAATTTCGTCATTTAACGGACGACTATTAATTTATTTAATTTCATTTAATTAATAACTGCCCAGACCTTTAAAACCAAAACATTAATAACTAACTACTGAATTCCGGTTACACAAGATTCGTTCTGGCGGCTACATTCAATGTTTTATTGCTCCTTATCATAATAATGTTATTTATCTACTATTGATACCAGTTTCAGTAAATCGTTTAAAATATTTTAAACAAACACATGCGCGCGTACAGCCATATCAATATATAATACATTCATATTACATTGTACGGTAAGAATATTTACAAAATGCTTTTCTAGTATTCTCAACTTGGGCAATTAACGTCACATTTAAGGTTTGAATGTTTTTTTGTATGCGTGTGTGTTTGTTGATGCAAATGTTACAATTTATTGGCAGTCACCTTCCAGTCAATTGCTTTTTAATAATATATATATATATATATATATATATATATGTATATATATATGTTGTTGTATATAAGACGAGAATACAACTAGCATATTTTTTTTGTCAAGACTTTCAATTACTAACCAGTATAATTCGCAGTCTAAATATAAAAATTGAACGTTCGAGTTTTCCGCTACTAAGTTTTTATTTCTCTAACACAACTTCGATAGCAATCCGATCCATATCAGTGAAAAATTTTTCCAGATTTTAGCAAAAGGCCCATGCACGAAACCAGAACCTAAATTAGAGATGCTTTAATTATGTTTGGGATTTTTTTTTTTTTTTTTGAAGAATATTTTTCCTTATATCCATCCAGTTTACTCTCCTTCTTCATTTATTGATAGAATTAGAATAGATCGTAGGTTCCAATATACATAATATAATCGGTGTAAAATTCGGATTGTATTACACGTCATACCATTGATTTGTTAAATGTGTAAATTAAGATATGAAAAAGAGGCATACGTTTTCAGTTAATGAACATACAATAAATTTAAAAGAGCATGTTAATATATAAACTTAAAAATCGTGGCTCTGTTTATTACATATTTTTAAAAAGGCTCTGTCAACTGTTTCCAAACGTATTGAATTTAAGAGTGCCTCGACATTCAATTTACGAATAATATTTTGCCTTCGATGATCATACCGCATATGCAGAGCCTGACACGCAAAAAGCAATTTTGATTGTTAATACGACGAAATCAGTGTTCCTGTACGACTCATCAATTTGACAAAATACTCTAAGCTTTGGTGCTATGAGTGGACCACAATTTCGAATGAGCCAATGTCGATTCGTTTAACAAAGAGCCCATCTATAAAGATGAAAATAGATAATCAACACTATGGGCTCTAAAAGGTCAAACGAACATCTTAATCAAGGCTGATGCTAGAATGACGGGAGAACATATACTTGAGATGAGCGCTTATACTTGAAAAACAGTTGTCGAAGTATACAAGTGAGGTCTACTTGTGTATTATTAAAGTGATTATAAACTACAGCAACTTTAAAATGTTTTTGCATATATCTAGGATGTAAAATAGTCGGTAAGATTTAATGGAGTATCTTTCAAACTTGTTAACTTCGTCTTTCTCTACATATCTAACCATCTATTACAGGTCGCGAATACGGTACTAATGACCTCCATGTTTTCCAAGAAATGGAAAATAGCTCGAATAAAATACATTCCTAAACAGCGCTCCTCATTTGAACATCATAATCGTCAACCATTCTTAAATAACGGTAATGTTCTAGATAATGGCCAATTCGGGTTTCGGCCTCGACGTTGCACCTTGAAACTCCTAATCTCCGTGACAGAGTTCGGGATAACATCAACGTTGGTAGGAGCTGTGTTCTTGCCGCTCTCAACACAAAAAAGGCATTTGACAGAGTCTCACATACCAAGCTTATTAATAAATCATATGATAAATTGAACTTTTCTCGGTGATTGACTCTAACTTTTCCCTAACTAAGACTATGTCTAGTGTAGAGCAAGGTTCCATTTTAGACCCCCGACAATTTAATCTTTTCATAAATGATCTTGAGGATTTGGTTGGTAACTACCGCGCTTTTTACGCGTATGCAGACGACATCTTTCTGATTTATAGTGACAATGCTAATAATTTGCATTCGTTCGACAACAATATTAACGAGACTTCAGCAATTTTCAAGTTCTGAATGGTAGATAGTATGCTATGATAGATAACATGGCATTCCATTGATCTTGTAAATTCAATGCATATCTTGAAGTAATCCTTGATCGCAAACTCAAATTTGCCTGCCTCTACAGATTAAATCATTACCATTGAAGTTTTTTCTGGGGGCCTTAGGTATATAGCTTAAATAGGCTTTAAAGTAACCCTATATAACCCTATATAACACGTTTTGTTTATAGCGTCGAACTTAGAGATCATATCGCCTCTTTAGTTCATGCTTTCTTAAAATTGTCCTTTTCCGATTATCTAAAATTCAGCTTGCTTATCTATCCTTAGGAAATCATCCAAAACCGATCCTCAGTCCTTTTAATTGAACGACTGCAGTTTCCTAGATCGAACAGAAACTCTTCCATATTCACATCAAATTTGTCTAAATCATCACCCGAGTGATCTTTCACTGTTCATATTGTTAGATGTTGGAATGCCTTACTGAGTCTGAAATCCTTCGGGGATCCTTTGAATGCGTTTAGAAGAAAATTGACTGCACTGGTAAACTTATAATGTATATTACTGGCAGGTATTATTGCTGGTACGAATTGATGCTTACGGACTTTATGGAGCAAAATAATTGCATTGTTAACTGTCCAGCTGAATTGTATACTCACTTATGTTGTAATTTCTCTTTGCACATGAAATGTATCTATGTAACTAAGTAATAGGCCCGTATGGCTTTATAGTTCCTTAATAAATGAATAAATGAAAATGAAATGAAAATATTCCGCTATGTAACTATGCGACGAACATTGATTTTTCCACCAAAAATAAAACGATTATACCGGTGCACTTGCAGGGTACCTCCTTCTTAAGAATTTTTGATATCGTGGGAAGCACAAGCAACGCAAATAAAATGCCATTTCAAAGTTTGCTGGAATCATTCTTAAAAATCAAAGTATCAAAACATGGAGACCTAGAGTGCGCTTCCCCATATAAAGAAATATCTAACGTTCATAGCATAGTATTAAACGATAGGAACACATATAGTTTTTCTTGAATTAAACACATTTGTCCCCGGAACGCAAGTCTCACTCACACTTAGCAACGATCACGACGATTTTAGGTATTAATGCCCTAGTCAAGTTTTAACATTTTGTTTAAACAGTTCTTGTTGTCGTTACCTTTGCTGTTGTAATGGTGTGTCGGTTCTTTTATTACAAATTTTTTCCGTTGTTAAAAAAATTTTTATTCCAATTTTTATGAGAAAATGCATTTTTCTTTCTTTTTTTTATAAATTAAAAAGTTTTAACAAAACGAGAAATCTTATAAAATTATATTACTTTTGTTTTTAAAACTTAAATAGAAAGCAATTTGCTAAAACCAAATAATTCTAATTATTTATTTTCCAATTTTACTTCAAAATTTGTCAAAAATTTGATGTAATGCTTTCAATTTTTATAAATATATTTTTACTTCTCCAAAAATTTGCAAAAAATACATTTTTATCTTTTTTAATTAATTACATGAACAAAAACGTTAACAAGAATTTTGTTAGGTAGGAAAAGTTAAACGAGAGCGAGATTAGTAATCAGAAAAATATTAATAATTGAAATCTGTAATACCTTTACCACAGAGATAAAATCAAATCTATATTTATTTCATCGTTGAATTTATTTTCTGTAAGCCACTGACAACACTCATCCATATCTCCTGCGAATTCTCTCCTTTATCTTTTAAAAAAGCACTTGTGGCACTTGATTTTTTTGGATTTGAATTGCATAAAACCAAAATTAAGGCGCCTTTGGTAAGTTGGATTTTCCAACAAAGCGTAGCGTAAATACTTCAACTGGGCCGTAGCAAAAACACTAAGAACATCTCTGGTAATCTTAATAAATAGGCTTTTTTTTTTTTTTTTTTTCTTCAATACTTTGGATATTTTCTTACGACTTACGAACACACACAATATCCAGATAATGCAAAACTTTAAGCAATATTCTCGTAATAAAAGTTAATCGGTTTGAACGTAAACGATTAAAAACGTGCACTTTGCATTTACAAAAAAATAAAAATAAAATAAAAAGATACAATTTCATTACTCAACGTTGACTGTTTGTCCTGAACAAGAGAGCTTAATTCACAGGGAGATTTGTGTCGGAAATTACCGAATGGCATTTCAAAAATGTTATCTGAATCCGTTTTTCATTACAATTTAAGAAATTCGACGTTCATCTTTATATCGTTCACTCAAGTTTAGTCTTAAAACTATGCGACGCTTCCACATTGTGGGTGTGCACTGGCCAAAACAGCTTCAACTAAAGTCATTCGATTAACTTGCGCAATCGTGTGTAGCAAAGAAATAAGCTTATGCCCAGTACCTGCATATATAGATTACTTACAAATACATTTATAATTGGGACGTCTACGACCACGTTAAGGATATTTACTTATAAACCACAGTTCTTGAAAACTTCAAGCAAAAGATTATTCTTAGTAAGAGGGGATCTGTTTCTGCCGCGAAGCAAAATTTATCTGAAAATTGTGACATGATTCGTTACGATTAGTGAATTAGTGTCATCGCATTTAAATTAATTCATAATATTGAAACGAGAGACTAATTTAAAGACTAAAACTACACTCATAAAACTGGCAATTAATTCGAAGCATGTGGAATTTCAAATTGTCAGACTCCATAGATAAATTTGAGAAAAAGTGCCATAGGTTAGTATTCCTTTCTTTAATTTATAATGAAACTTTTTATCAGCTTAGATTACGAATAACTATGGAGATTAATATTTGTTCGGATAAAAGTATTGAAATATGTAAAAAATGAATACGAAAAAAAAAGGATTAAACATAACTAATTAATACAAAAAAAAATGTTGTACAAATAATTTGCCAAAAAAAATTGTTTTAATATGGATTAGCCTTTTTTTTTTTTTTACTTTTCCAACATTCTGATGTAGTTTGGAAATGTGGCATGTACACATAAATATCGAAAAGGAGAGCGAGAGACAGAGAGAATAAGATCTATTTTTTTATTTACTTATAAATATTATTTGTTTGTATTTGTATATATCATCATCATTAACTGCATAAACGGTAATAATTTCATTTAATATTTTCTTCCTTTCTTTTATCTTTGTTTAAATCAAAACTAAACGAAAGCTATGCAAGAGAGAAATAAATTTTCCTTTTCCGTAATAATAAATCGAATACAATCGAAATTATTGTACTTAAGCAATCAGTTTTTTTTTTTTTTTTTTTTGTTTTTTGTATTAGTAATTGTTTCCTTTTTGTTAAGTTTTAGTTACATTATTTTATGTTGCTCTTTTCAATGTTATTATCAATACCATTCATTATGGTGACAACGACGATCATCACCTTTTAAAAGATCTAAAGAACTAATTATATGTTTGTATGTAGGTATATAAACCAGTTCGTGATATATAATTATGTAAATTGTTTCAATCAATAGTTTAGTTTAGGTTTTCGCTTTTTTGTTGCTTTCTTTTGCTTTGCTTTGTTGTTGCAGTTTTTGTTTCTTCATTATTATTCTAAGTTGTGGTTGTTTTTTGTCTTGTAAATACATGAATATGTTTAATTGTGGGTGTAGTTAGTTTTTTTTTGTTATAGAAGTGTGTGGGAAGCGTGAAAGTGTATATTTGTTTCTTCCATCATTACTTGTATGTTGCTTAATTGCTGTTGCTTTGCTAAAGTTCTTAATACTAAAATCCAATAAAAGCTCGGCGGCCTCACTCCAGATTTCTGACCTCAAAACGTTTAAATGTGTAATTAATAAATACCCAATCCTTAGCAATTTCACTCCCTTGAGGCATTGGTGCGGAAGCTATTAAGAATAAAATTTGTACAACCACAAAACAAAAGAACATTTTAAAGGCTTACGGATTTCTAAAGAAACATCAGGAAATTCATCGAAATTAGACGTATCATCAATGGAGCGCACTTCCACTGGTATAGCTGCAGGACGTTCACGTATATGTTCCCAATCAACGCCACGAAAAAAGGGAACTGATTTCAAATCTTCAAGACCGCGTTGAGAACCTAAGCGGCGATCGGCCTCGCAGCAAAATTTAACTATGGTTTCCTTGGCTTCCTCAGATATAGGTATTTCGGGTGGAAACACTAACGTTTCTCGCCAATTCATTACTTTACGATAGGTATCTTGAGGATTATCAGAACAGAAAGGTGGATAACCCATCAGCATTTCGTACATAATCACACCCAAAGACCACCAATCACAAGCAGGACCATAGCCAGTCTGCAAAAATACTTCTGGTGCTATATAGTCCGGTGTGCCAACCGTACTGTAAGCCAAAGCTCTGCGATTGCGTTTCCATGACTCAGCGCGTCTTTTAGAGTCCATAGGACTAAAATAAAGAATTATATAAAATATCGTAGCTGCAAAACAATTTATATTTAATAATTACCTTGCACATGTTCCTATAAAATCTGATGGTTTGGCTTGCGATAAATCCCGATAGAAATCAGTGCGATGTGATTTTTTAAGACCAGTACATAAACCGAAATCTGAGAGCTACAAAAACAGTTATTTAATCAATCATTTTTATTATTTCTGTTTATTATTTATTATTACCTTTAAGTGACCACGCGCATCTAACAGTAAGTTGTCTGGTTTAATATCTCTGTGTATGAAACCTAATTTATGTATTGAATCGATTGCCAATGCAGTCTCTGCTATATAAAATTGTGTACATTCTTCCGATAATGTGTCCTTCTTCATTAGCAGCGTCATCATATCACCGCCGGGCAAGAATTCCATTATTAAATATAAATTAACAGGATCCTAATAACGATAAATTGATTTGATTACAATTTTGAATCTAAACTTGTCTTTTTTAAAAAAATTTATATATGTATGCACGCTTTTTATAAAAAGTACACGGTGTTCAATAAAATGCATTAAGAGTTGTCCATTTCTTGTATCACATTATTAAAAACAGTGAAACAGGTTTTAAAAATTATTTTCAGAGAATTGAAGCACGAATAGAAAGATTCCAAGCTAAAGTGCAATGTACCTTGAACGATAAACCCTGGAGGCGAATGCACATTTTACGCTTTTAAAATATGGAACAGCCTTATTTGCTATTGTAATTCCATTAAATTCGTCGTAAAAGATGACAAAAAATATAAAACATTTCATAGCAGTTTACAAAGTCAATATCATTGCTTAATATTGCTGTGATCCAACTAGTAATCATTTTTTTTGGTGCGGTCAGCAAGCATGCAAATATTTGTGCTCAGCCTCATCTTAAAAAAACAATTTTTTTTCTTTCTTATTAATGAACTAAATAATGTTGGTCATATTATCTACGCTAACCAATGATAAATGTGGAAATCGTTTTCTTAGCACAACGATAACAGCAATAAAAAGAGATAAACAGAGTAAGCACAACAAATTTATTGTTTATCAACAAATTAATTATAAGCTGTTAAATTACCTGAAAACTGTAATACATTTTCACTACCCATTGATGATCGGCCTCTACCAGCACATCTCTTTCGGCTCTTACGTGAGCCACTTGTTCTTTTTCCAACATATCTGCTTTTCTTAAGACTTTCATTGCATATACATGACCGGTGTCTTTCTTTTGTACCAAACGCACCTCACCAAATGCTCCACGTCCAATAACTTTTAATGCTTCAAAATCTTCTACACCTAAGCGCAATCGTTTTAAACGTAAAAATTCTGTTTCTTTCTGGGCGTGCTGCATACGTTTTTCTTGGCGCTGCGACTCTGTAAGGCTTTCATCTTTTAACTGCGCTTCCAATTTGGCCAAACGTTGCTTACGTTCTCCATACTGCGTAACCAAATTACTGTAGTAATTTTCAAGTGTTACCTTAGCCTTGGTAGCTTTGTCCAATGTGTGGTCGCTAAAGCGTATCGAAGAACCATCAGCGGTGCTGCTCATGGTTAAAAATTCCACAAATAATCTCTGAGATATCTATTTATAATTCAGAAGCACAAAAAACACTTGAACGCTTAAATATGTTGCTTTTTTTGTTATTATGGATGATCTTTCAGCACCAGCAGACTGTATATGTGTTTGCTAATATAAAACTGTTTTGTTGCAATTAGGTATTTATTACTTTTATCGTGCAGCAAGTTGTAGAACAAAGAAATTTAACATTTTTGTTTGAAGAAATTGTCTTTCTTCTTTTTTTTAAATTTTTATAGAATATTGGAATTTTTGGTATTTTTATTTTTGTTACTTAAAGAAAGTCAAAAGAAATTTCTCTTGCCGTATTCCTTGTTATTCATAAATGCAACACTGGGATCACAATTAATAGCTTTGTCAAAATCTAATAAAAATCCGTTATTAGACCACTTGCAAGTTAATTAAACCAACTTAGCAACTCTTTTCCTCATAATATTAATGGCTGTAAACGTAGGGATGTACATATGTATAGTTTGTAGTGATATTATTTATTGCGGACAAAAGCAGTTGTCATTGTGATAGCGACAGTTCACAATGCCGGAATTATGATTGCAAGGTTCTTTTGTTGGATTTTTTTTTTTTCGAGTAAATTAAGATGAAAATCGATTAACGTAGAAGCTGTTAACCTATTAAGCATCGCGATTTTAAATTGCAAACGCAGATATTAAAAGATTCATATTGAGGCGGGTCGCCGTCACCTCTGTTGATAGGAGATTTTTTTAATAGAGTTTGTGGTTGTTTTTGTGTTATGGAAATTTGTCGGTTACATCATATCACTCATCACGTTTATCAAATACAGTTGCTTTATATTAGCGTAAACAAAAGAATCATCAAACATTGATAGATGAAGTTTGAAAATAAACAAAAAGAAAATTGGGCTGACACGCCGAACAGTCCCGAAGAAAAATTAAAACATTCATTAATAAACGATTCAGGTCCGATATGTTTAGTAAAAGCATATTGGTCGTGATCGTCAATTTTAAAAAGTCATAATTAATGAAAAAATTCTCAGAGGATTTGAAGATCCAGTCTAAACCTATGTAGATTTTCTTCTTCTCCTTTTTCTGTTATTCAGCAAATTAACGACCGAGAATTCGCTGAGATGTGTAAAAAAGGCTACACTTTATGTAGATTTTTCATCTTTTCTTCCACTTGTAGACCAAGTAGAGGGACAACTACTGGCTTAGTTATGTGATCCCATGAATTAGGTAAAAGGCTGAGTGACTTTTGGATTGTGTGTTCATTACCATTTGCTGGATCTCTCACCACAGCCTTCGAGAAGTTCGAAAGTGTACTCTTTTATATATTCTTACGTGCTTACTATAGATGAAATTTCAATACAGGAATAGTACCTCCACAACGACGTTTGTTACGCATAAACTTGGGTTCTTGTATAAATCCGTAGAGAAGCAATTGATTGGGCGAAATTAACGCTATGCGTTCTACCTCCACTCATTATGAAAGCCCTGTCGAACTTTCCTACTCATTGCTGGTAAATACGCAAACTTCACAAATCAATTTTCTCACGCTCCTCTTTCTACGACAATCGTTTTATATTAAAAAAAAAAAGCATTATTTTCATTTAAAGCCATAGTTTGCAGGGAAACTCTCATAGTGGGGAATCTACTCACGTGATCCAAGCTTAGAAGATTTTGTGTTTCATTTTAGGATATTATTATTCTTCACCTATAGATTTTCATCATAAAAAGCTATAAATTACGCTTTACTGCCATATAAATGCTTACTAGTCGTGAGTATCTTCAAATTTAGTCCAATTTTTGCTTTACTATTAGCGATCGATTTTCATGTAAGATATTAAAAATTAGATCTTGTTGGCATAAAGATTTATCTCTTGTGAGAATCCTTACAGGCGGTAGTGCCCAAAAAACAGACCTATTTGATCGTTTCAATTTGATAGATAGAAGTTTTATATCATGTATTGAATAAATTTCACCATTACATATTGAGAAAAGGCCGTAGGAAGAATAATATAGCAGAGTATTCGAAAACTTACCCTATTCAATCCAAATTTTTCATTTTAAATTTAGGAAGCCAAAATACCATAACTCAGTGATTTTTGTTGACGAATTTTAAATAATTGTTATTTGTGTCCATGCGACGTAAAAGTCGATAAAGTAGTCCCATCCAATCCATTTTCAACATAGGTTGTCCGTGGGTCAAAATACGTCTCACAAATTTCTACTTGTAAGTTCAATGCAAAAATATAGATACAGACAGACAGACAGGTTTAGATATAATAAAAATACATGTATTTTAAGTCTTTCCTACGTCCTATACGCTATAGTGGTGTAGCGTGTAAAAACGGAACGTATTGAAAAAACACACATTTCCCTTTCCGATCTTCAACACACAGTCAAACTTCGTAAAGCAGATATAGTTAAACTTCCTCGTAAGACATAGCGGCAGATACTTGAACTTTTGGTGAATCTATGCATGTAAGAGCGAGGATAGCGATGAAGGAAGTATTGAATGGCGTGCTGTTAAAATAAAATGCCACTTTAAGCCATGAATACTTTAGAAAGAAAGTGTCCAGCTACCTTTCTGTGAGCAAAATTTCATGTATTGAAAAACCAATATTATCGCTGTATATGTCAGTTTCCATTAGTTGTATTTTCACAGCAATTGCGAGATGTTAAGAAATAATGCCAGGCCAACGGAATATTCATATCGCCCGATCATGAACAATATCAAGAGATATAGTATGACGAAAATTAGTTTAACACGTTAAGGACGGCGCAGTTTATCCTATTTCGCTTCATTGCGCGGCAGCAAAAATCGTACTTTGCTTTATCTGGCGGGGCTGTATTATAGCCCACCTAAAAAATAAGCTCTTGAATTTTTCAATTAAAAATTATTTTTAACCACAAAGTTTTTTCCATCTAACAAAATTATAGCTGATGTGAGCCACCGGTTAAAGTTCTCCGCAGAATATTTCAGCTGCGTATCGGAGCTATGAATAATAGCGTAGTGACGCCATTGATCGAATTGGAATTAATAGATGGTATTGTGAAATTCAATCACGGCTCCCAATATTCACTTCTGGCGCTATCGCATAATGCTACATTGCATCTGTATGTATGTTGCATATAAATTTGTATACGAAAATAATTATTTTACATTTATTGCTATTGTCTTTAATATTTGAAAGCTTAGAAATGGAAAACATCATATTCACCCTAAAAGTAAGCTTTAAACCAAAAGTGAAATCTTAACTGTACGGTGTCGTTTGCCACTGATTTTCTTCTCACTTTTGAAAAAGCTAACGGTATATTATTTGACTTATATTGAATGAGTTCTTTTGAGAGTTTCTTTATATCAACATAAGGTTTCTTTTCCAACACTTTGATGTAAGTCTTTTAAAATGAATAACAGACAGATCGGTTTGAAACGGGCCTGGGTCTCTTAGAGGCGTTTTCAATCAAAAATTAAATTGCAAGTTAGAAAAATCTAACTTCCAGTTAACACTGCAACTAATATTTAAATTTTTGCTGTAAAATTTCTTTCAGTTAACCATGAACTGACGGAAGAAGTCCAAGGCAACAACAAATGGAGGAAGAAAAATTGTGAATAAACATTCATAATTGGTAAAAACGTCAATCTCAATATGTGATCATAGTCACAATAAATGTTAGTTCAGATTAAGATTTAGTTAAAGGATCGGTTTGCTAATAAAAACTCAATTTAAGAGATTTGATTGATTTGATTAGCTTTTAAGTTGAAATTAACCTATTGAAAACGGCACACTGGATGCAATAAATAAATATATATATATATAAAACGTTTGTTGGTTTTACTTACTTGTCGGCGAATAAACCACCCAATGGAATGCTAATAAACCGCCCGAGTTCCACATATACGGTAAATAAACCGCCTGACTTCCACATATACGGTAAATAAACCGCCTGACTTCCACATATACGGTAAATAAACCGCGCGAGTTCCACAAATAAGGTAATTACAGTTAAGACAATCTCTCGTTTAGAGTTACATTTGGAATAAACCTGCGGCAAAAAATTATAAACAGCTGTTAGCAAATGAATTATTAATTCATAAAAAATTTGATATTATAGTTTGCCGCCTATTGTTTTGTTTAGGGATGAAAGCGGTTGTGATTTCGATTACAAAGACGTTGTTAACAATTATGAATTGTTGCTATGTTTGCAAAAAGAAATTTTAAAATTTGCTTTGCAAAAAAATTTCTTTCTCTACGTCAAGATTGTGAATTGTAAGTATAATGATGTCCAAAAGAATTGTTGCGCCTTAAAACATTTTATCGGCTTTGTTTTTTCAGTGAAATGTTGTTTAAATCGAACGGTTATCGGAGTTGCATAATCCTCTAATACCTAAAGATGTTTTTGTCCATCTTAATGAATATAATTAATTCATAAGAACAAACTGCTTAAGCTAAGCTATTTTAATTAATTTAAATTGCCAGCTGTGCCACTTAGTGTCAGTATGTGCGTCAACATATTGTTAATTTAAACTTGACCCACCAAATTTGCAAAGAATAAATCTTCCATGGACTCTAAGGCACTCAACGGTATTAAATTCAAAATTAAAAAGTTGAAACGTTTTTCGACCTTATACGAAGATAGATATTTGGACGCTATCAATTTTCTTAAACTAGTTAAAACGTACTGTTGTACACGATGAACAAAATAACGAATTTGATGATCCTTTCTTTTCAAAAAAGTATGAGGATTGAAAACGCACGTGTCTGTCGGTTCAAGTGTTTGCACGCTTAAAATAAACGAATTTAAACGAGCTATGTGTTCGCTTATTTTTTTGATTTTCAAGGGATCGATTTTCTCTACGTCAGCTAATTACTACAGAATCGCCTGTAGAATATACGTTCAAGTGTTTGTACATTTATCTGCTATAGATTTCGAGTAATAAAAGCAAAAAACAAATTTTTTTTATTTCTTTTGAAAATCAGAGGTGCTCTTAGTTTACATGGTAATGTGGGCGGTTTGTTCCATTTTCCGTCAAATTTGAAGTCGATAGCTTCACTTTTGCGGATAGAATTTTGTCAAAACGTTTGCAACGCCCAGAAGGAAGCTCCAAAGACTGCACAAGGTATATACATTCTCGATCAGCATCAAATTCTAAATCGACTTAAGCATGTCCGTCTGTCCGTCTGCGTAATGTCTATTGTAAAATATTCTCTGGGCCGCTATAGGCATGCCGGTTGGGATTGAAAGTGGGCCAAATCAGTCCACGCATTCGCCGACCGAACACTGTAAATTGAGAACATCTCTGTCTGCATAGGCAAAAAAATAGATATTTTGCTCTTTAATCATAAACTGCAACTGAATATAAAGATGGCGGGTATAAAAGATTCGATCGTAGTCGAATATAATATTCGTCTTGTTCGATTTAATCATAAATCTTTTTCCATTTTTATGCTGTTTTTTAGGGCAACATTGACGGGGAGAGTTATATTGTGACTATTGTATCGAATTCTCTGAAAATCTCGTTAATTATTGCATAAAAAACAACATTGACTTAAGGACTATTATTATGGGATTCATTACATCCACTGAATGTTTCAATTTTTGGTTTTTATAATTCATCAATTATGTCTTATCACAAAATTCGAATTTGAAAATTTTTAGTTCGAAGAGACTATAAATATTACAGAAAACGATGACAAGCAAAGGCACTCAGCAGCCAGTTGTCCATTAAGAAGAAATAAAAAAAGATTTTCCGTACGAGTAAGTGGCCTATGCTCTCAAGCTATAAATCCGTTTATCTATACGATTTCCATCAGCTATCTGACAAATAAAAATATACCGTAAAGAAAAAAGGTTCACGAGTTTTATGATATAGTATTTAATTTTTATGCTTCTAAAATTTAATTAAGCGTAATTTCAAACCTTATTATATTTAATGGGAATAAAATAAGAAATCTGCTTTATCTTTGTGTTGGACTATTTAAAAATCGTTTTCTTCTCTCTAATTATATGTATGTATATATAGGTAAACAAATGTAAACATAAAATCGTAAGAAACAATAAACCACACAAGCATATTTTTAGCAAATTTTAATGCTTCAATATATTACTTTCTCAAAGAATTTAGGAGGACTACTTTGCGCGGGTTTGGTGTTGTTAATTTTTAAAAGTAAAAAGATACACTTTGTCGTTAAAGTCATTTAAGCTGAACATAACATTTTCAGCAACTCGTTTTGCTAGTTATAGACAAAACAAGAAATTCATTATAGAATATATTGCAGATTTTCTTGGAATGTCAAGCAGTATTAAGGAGGAGAAACTCTGATTTTTCATCGTTTTATAAATGGTTATAGATTGCAATAATTTGGTTGAATTTTATTCTAGATTTTTACTGATCGCAAAGTTAGAAATAAATTTTGTGCGACGCATACCGTCCCACACATTATGTCTTTTGGGCTCGCCTAGTCCTAGAAAGATGCGATTATATGAAACTGGAAGTCTTTCATTTAAAGACACCTTGAGCAAAGTTCAACTCATTCATCAAGTAGTAGTTGTAATTCAATAGGTTCGAAACACGTGTGAGTAGATACAAAGTGAAAACAGCTGATGTATTACATGGCGATAAGGAATCACTAATAGAGCCTTTAGCTTTTAACGCTATTGTAAGTTAATTGTATTAATTTTCAATATGGCATCACTTGATGTCATTTTAGTGTCAACAATTGCTTGTAGAAAAAAGAACAAGCCAATAAAACTTGCTTATTTTTAATTAAAATTAAAGCGTAATGATGGATTATAATGTACATAAAATATGTCGCGTATGTTTGAAAGAAGGTGCATTAACATCGATCTACAGCAATGAATTTTCTATGATGCCATCAACTATGCTTATGCTGTGTGCTAAGGTTCGAGTTTTTAAAAAGGATGGTTTGCCCGAAGTTATATGTAACAATTGCATTTATAGACTAGGAGTTGCCTATCACTTTAAACAAGAATGTGAGAACTCCGATTTAAGGTTGAGGCAATATTTGGGTCTATCTGACAGTGGTTACGGGTAGGTTGTTTGGTTCGACTGCAAACCCAAAAATAGTTTACATGAAATTGTCTACTCAAAGGATATGCGATGTTGAGACCAACACTGATCCAAATTGGGCCGGTTTATCTCAAAAATCCCAATTATTATTATCAACAAATGGACAAATAACAGATTCTGAAGAAGAAGAAGAAGAAGAAGGCTTAAAATCTGCAAAAAAGAAAAGGTAGGATTTAGGAGTTTTTTTTGAATGCTTCAGTTTCTAATATGAAGTCTTTGTAATTAGTAAACGTCGTTCTCGTTATCAACGTAAACCTCCAGAAGAACATAAGAAACGGGGACCTAAGCCTTTACCTAAACTTCCCCCAACCTGCTATGAGTGCCAAAAGACATTTAAATGTGCGGCGCAATTGCAAATGCATATACGCACTCATACTGGAGAGAAGCCATTTGCGTGCCATTATTGTCCAAGACGTTTTGCACAAAAATATAATTTACAAATACACAAACGCACCCATACTGGTGACAAGCCTTTTCAATGTGAAATATGCTCGAAACAATTTTCAGCTTTAGGAAATTTTCAAGCGCATCTCAAAATACACTCTGGAGTACGAGATCAGCACTGTCCAGTGTGTCAGAAATCATTTTATACGACCGGTGACTTATCAAAACACATGATCACCCACACGGGCATAAAAAGTCATCACTGTGACATATGCGGCAAAGCATTTAGTAGAAGACGAGATATGCTCGCCCATAAAAGAAAATTACATAATTTGAGCAATTTAAACGAACGCAGCGAGGAGGAGGATGAAGAAATTGTGGATACGGTAGTCAATGATGCTTTCAAATGTCCCGATTGTGACAAGGAATTCGAATCGGCAGTCGGCCTTAGTGTTCACTTTCGTACACATGGTTCTAATAACTTGTTGAATTTGCCATTGGGTAGCACACATCATGCGCCACAACTGCCCCCACCACCACCACCACCAACACATCCACATGCTACGGCTACTCACCACTATCATCACCATGGGCCGCCGCCACCACATCCACACCATAACGGTTTACATGCTCATCCGCATCATTTGGGTTTAAATACAGCCGCCGCCTCATTACAGGCTAACGCTGGGCCTGCAAGCATGTCTATGGCTCACATGCTAGCGGTCGCAGCCCCGCCACCACCCCCGCCTCCCAATACAGCCATGGGTCAACAGAATTCTTTAACCATAATGCATACCACTCAAAGGTTGCATCCCTTTTAAGGAATGACTAGGAAGATGGACAAATACGGATTGATCGACCAAAGTCTCGTTGGTTCGTTGACAACGTATGTGCTTAGTGGAGATGAAAATTTGATTAAAAATAATAAATACATAATGGAATCTCTGAAATGAACTTATTATTACAAACCGAATGATATAAGAAGTAGAAGACGGATTCTGTTGTTATGAATCTAGACGTTTTTGAACTTACCTAAAAGCAACCAAATGTCACTTCGCGAACAATTTGTGATACGCCCATTTTCAATAACAAAAGCCTAATATATGCTACAGTTTTTTCTTTGTATACATCACGAATATCAATGAGAACTCTCGTTAAATCTCAATAAAAATGCATTTAATGTGTATTACTTTAATGTTTTTTTAATAAGGAGAAACATTGGATTGTTGAAGTGTCATTACGGAAACATGTAGCAACAATAATCAAGTGCAAACAGGCCGGACCTCGTTTATCTCTCCTACTGAAGATTTCAATCATGAGCAATTTTACTTTATATTAAAAAATTATTTAAGCGTTAATCCGTAAATAAATGCTTTGCCATTTAACCACAAAAGAAAAAAGGATTTTATTTTTCTTATATACATTGTCTGATGTTGGAGTGTGGTTGAACTTATGAAGAAAGGGTAGACTCCTGATTTTGAGGCATGCTTGAAGATCGGATATCAGAACCTTGAACGACAGCTGCGCTAATCTTTCATATTTACATTTATTAAAAACATATCTGGCACACTTATTAACAATATCCTCCAACTTATTGCTAGAGACACCGCATCCACATGAGACGTGGGCGGCACAAGGAGACATTTAACCAGTCTCAATTTAGCGCCGGTATACACGAAGAAATCCACAGCTTCAGAATGTTCCTTATCGTAAAATTAACATGGTCTTTACCATTTTAATGAACGTTGAGCTGAGAACCAACGGTAGAGACCGTAGTAACAAAGTCAGTTTATTCATAAGGAATCAAGCAAGGAGTTGGAGTTATAACCGACGAGTGAAATAACAATGAGGTTAGTTTTAGTAGAATTTAACTCGATTGAAGTTATTAAACCCAGATCAGTGAGTAATGCGATGCAAATCTTCATTGCTGCGCCGGACCAGATCATCCAGCACACCGCGCGGGCACAAGAGATAGATCTGTGAATCAAAAGTAAATAAAAGGATACGATAATTGTGACAATGTACAACCAAACCGTGCAAAGGTTCTGAACAAGATAGGGCCTAATATGGATCATTGCGGGACACCAGAAGTGATTACTTTTAATTCAGAGGTGGAGTTATCAACAACCCAAATAATAAGACCAGATCAGGTTAACCGTAACCGGATTGAGTTCAGAATAATAATCAAGTCTTTGCAACAATAAACTGTGGTCGACATTGCCAAAAGCTTTAGAAAAGTTAATCATTACAAAGATGGTCAACTCGGCTTAATAAAACGTTGTCATATTAGATAATCGTAATTGCAATTCAAACTTTTGCTTTTTGCAATCACATCGCCCAGTACGATCATTGGTTATATTTTCACTAAGCTCACTTGTGCTTTTTCATACAGGAACCTGCAGACAAATATCTGCGTCAAACCGAAAAATTTACTTGGAACGAAATGATTCGAACAGATATTCAGTTCTGCGCTAAATCAAGTGAAAATTCACAACGGTTTTGGGCGAGGTGGCATTATTTAAAGAGACATAAATTTTGCTTATTTTGTCTGAAAATACGCAGCCTTAACCGCTGACGCATAGAGTGTGAAAAAACGCAGCGCCCCGGTTTCAAGAAGGTTTCTGAGGCAAATTTAAGAACATTAGAAACGGAAGGGTGGATTGCGTGGTAGACTGAAAATTGTATAAAATAATTTTATAATAAAAATTAAAAATTTTTTTCCAAAGTTTTATGAAATTTCATTTTTCCTAACTTGCATTAGAAAAATAGTCCAAAGTCTCTGATAAATTAAAACGCCTTTTTTCACATTATGAAAATAAATTTTTTTGCTTTAATATATGTATACATTTTAAATAATTTCATAATTACTTCTTTTGTTTTCACTTTCTCTTTTTGCTTTGTTTTTTCTTTTTTAATATGATTATAAAGGGATGTATTATGAATTATTTTTTGCTTGCTTAAACTTAACATAATTTTCATTTTATTTGCATTTATTCTGCAATTCATTCGCTTTGACATAATATATAATACATATAAACGTTACAATTAACAGAAACTAAACAAAACTATATTTATTAATTTACTATGGTTATTATGCATTGAAGAAACTTTTTTAAAGAATTATTAGAAGAGAATTACTATTAAAAAACTACTACGGCAAGCGATTACAAAATATAACATAAAGATAAACGCCTACAAGTTACAATTAATTGCTTTTAAATACCATTTAACCAATTCACATAATAGTCTAAAGGCTAAGCCCTTTTTTGTTTTTTCGTTTAATTAAATAATTCTTTTTCGTTTTAATCCGATAGAAACTTATATATACATATATATATATATGTATATATAAACATTAAAAATTATTTCTTTTCACAATTTTTTCGTATATATATATATATATATATAATTAATCATTCATTCATAATTGTTGACAATTGTCTGTTTTGTTGTTGTTGTTGTTGTTGTCGTTTTTATAGCACCTTGATATCACTGTTATTATCTATGTTATTACAACTTGAGTCTATTAAAAAAAAATGTTTTTTTTTTTTCAATAATACAAAATTTAAATTAAGCTGCTTTAAATCTCTTTAAAATTAATTTAAGATAAACAAAGAATTAAAACTTAACCATAAACTTAATGAAAATTTTCAATAACCACCATTACAGATGTAGGAATTTGGGGCAGCAGGCATAGAAAATTATTAAAAACGTAACTAAATCCTTAGGAAATGTATAAAATTTCTATAAACTAAGTTGATTCTCGTTAAGTTGACAAAAGCTAACAAAACTAGAAAAATATGTATTTCGAAAACAGTAGTAATAGACTTAAGAGGTCTAAAATAGGGACGGGCTGGCTGGAGGGCTGACTAACTATCCCAGAATTTGTTTGTTTTTATTAGTTTATATCCTTAAAGCTAACTATATGCCTTCCTTCCTTCTACGTAAATGTCACTCCCAAGTATTACACATTTTTTCTTAATTTTTACTTAATTTTTTTTTATTGCACTATTATTTTTTTTTCATTTTTTGAAAATTTTTATATGAGTGCAGTTAGTTCTAAGGGATCTTATTTATTATGCTATGAAATTTTGACTTAGTGTGAACAATTATAATATATTCATAGTTTTTAAGTGATAGAAATGGTGGTTATTTTACAAAATCATACATATTAAAATCTTTATTTTTTTAAATCACTTTGTTGTAATCATTTTGAATAAAAATAAAAAAATATATCATATCTTTATTATTTTTTGTAATAAATCTAAAAATATATGCACCCATTTGTTCTGATTGTTTTTTTAAAGTGTATCTTCTGTTGTTGCATTATTTCTAACTTATTTCCTAACATTCACTTAGCTGTTCCTTTTTTTAAACGTTAAACAGTTAGTATTTCTAGCAATAATTTATCTTATTCTAATAAATCTATAATACATACATAGATCAATTGTACAATTTTTATGATAATTATTATTTCTATTTATATTTAAAGTGCAATTTCCTTAACGTTGTTGCATTTTGAAGCCATTATTAAAATTTCATTAAAATTGTATTAACTCCTAATAAATTTCGTACATTCTCGTTGTATTTAATAAGCACAACCTTTGAAGCACAGATGTTCAATTTTTCACCGGCGCATAGGAGTTGTAAGCATGTCGCCTTTTCCAGGAAATCTGACATTTTCAGTTCACGCATTAGATTTTTGGCGGGACTTACTGACGATGACGACGGATATATCTAAAAAAAATAGTATTTTTTCTTTCAAATAACAGACAAGTAAATACAAGCCAAGCAAGGCCGACCTTTAAACATTCCACACCATTTCGTCTAAAACAATTACTCATACATTTTCGTACTGATAATATTATACCAAAAAATATACTTTGTGTAGTGTTGATTTTTCTACGTTCTACATTTCACGTTTATACCTCTTTAACATTTATGCTTAGGCTAAAAACTTATTCAACCGTACTATCTACCTATGCCTCTCATTCCTTATTTACACCGCATTCCTTTTCTTGTTGACCATCACACGGAATACTCACAACTCTGTCATCTTGACTTAAAATTGTACCGATTTTACCGTCACAAACGAAGCGACCGATCATGCTTTAAAATTAGCCGCTTACTATATTGTTTCAAAGGAAATGTCACTTAACTTAAACAAATTCACGTCCGTCACTACGCATCTATCAATGGGTAGAAGTATAACAACCATATAGAGAATCTTACATCTTAGAATGATTTTTTCATAGCCGCCAGGTTTAGTCAATAAATTCTCCACTAAGACGTAGTCACCAATATTACATGCTTCACAAATACGATTACGATCTTTCAATTTCTTATCATAATCTATACAGTCCACCTCAGTCCAGGAATGTACGCTTTAAATACGTCGTCATGATGCATTCGTAAAATATTCGATTGTACTCTCTCTTGTACATAAAACAATTAATTATGACCAGATTTCCTATACGGAAGACAAATAGTTATCTTATAAAATGCACTCTCCTCCCGTATGCCAATTGCGACCTTATCTTACTAGCAGCCCCATTTGTATGTTGACAAATAGATAAATTCTGTTCGAACGTATTCTTCTCTAGAACTCAACTGTTTTATGTTCTTTTTCTGTGAGCCAGCAAATCAACAACAGATGATTTACCGAGTTAAGTGAAAAAGGTTCAATGGGAAAATGAATTTCTTTATTTGAACCTTAATAAAGTTGGTGGTTAGCTGGATTGTATTGTAAATGTATATTCATATATATGTACATATTTTGCCTGTTATGACGTCCGCCACGTAACTATAATCGTTTCGCGGGAAGTGACGTTTCCAAGTCTAAATTATTTTTCTTGTTTTATTTTCTCGACTTTTGATGTGACCTGTTCTGAACTTTTATTTAGTTTCCAAATGATTTCGAAATGATTTCCTGTAAAGTGAATTTCGAAATGTGAGATATGATGGAGTGCAAGTGTGTGTATGTAGCGTCTAGTCTAAAAAAATGGAATCATGACGCATCAGATTTGAGATTGCATAATACTGATCTAATTTCTAGGACGTAAGGATGAGTTCTACTTTAGGGAAACGACTGCAAAGCGGATAAGACAAGCTTCTTCTGGGATCGAGTACTTGCTAAACGCATAGCTATTAAGATGGCAAGACTTTCAGTCGAAAATACACAACCAATTCATTAGTAAATATGAATGCAAAATGTCTTCATTTGGCACTAACTAAATTCGGCTCAATGCTGGAGTAACTGTGGATTTCCGCACAGACCAGAATTTGATTACAAGCTGGACATTATGTGAGGAGTAGGAATGTCGAATAACTTATGTGTATTGATGAATGAGGAGGAAGGTAAATGAAATGTAATGCCAAATGATTCTTATTAAACAAAATTTTATTAGAGGCGAAATTAGCAAGTGAACGAAACCTTTCGGGTAGATGCATAACATTTGCCATTTGTTTTAGGCCTAATGTGTGAGCGGAATTAGTGAGCAAGCGTATTCTAGTTTTCGCCTTACTAGCCGGAAATATAATTCGATTGTACGCGAAGGTTTGGAACTCCCAAGAAATTCCACAAAAGGATCTTAGGATGTTAGTTAGTTGGATGCATTGACGCTTTTATATAGGAGGATGAATAAAACGTAAACTGATTGACGTGGTCCAAGTTTAGTAAAACAGTCCATTTTTCTTACAAAGATTACAGGCTTTTCAAGTTTTTAATATGTATACTAGAAAATTATTTCGAATATACGGTTATATGATGTTAACTTTTTTAAAATCCCTTTCAGTTGTTTGTATACGACTATCTAGAAGATGAGTGCAAAAACATGAGAGTGAAGAGTGTGCAAACATGTTCGAAATAAACAATCATATCAGATTTTTTGAACAAATATTTCACAGGGCGTTTAAAAAAATGAATATGTATATATTCAGCTAACTTTATAAACGCCACAAACGAGTTTTTGGGTTTTTTAAATGCTTCCGAAACATATAAAAGCGCTGCAAGAAAGCTACAGAAACTAATATATTGTTATCGTAAAAGACTGAAATTTCTTTTTAGGAATTCGCTAAATCTACACATAAAATCACATAATTAATAAATACTGAAAAAATATGAAAATTAGATATCAATCGTATTGCCCATGTGATAGGTTTCCAATTGTCCATTACGCGTAACTTTCGATTTCTTTGTCTTAGCTATGTATGGGAATTGCCATAACAAGAGCTTATATATCGCGGGATAGAGAATGAAATATTTCTGTAGCAGTTCATATATAGTATAATGTGCATTGAAGAGAATATAAAAGTTGTTAAAAAATTGTCTGATTCTCAATTTATATTTAGAGGCTTTAATTCGACTTTCCTCTCAGAGTTGCCTGTTGTACCTCTCATTGTATTTCTTTTCTTTGTTATTTGTAAAATTTCGAAATCACATGTACTCACCTTATTTAACAATGTGTCCTTGGATTTGACTTTTAATAAATTGCACAAATCGCTTAGCAAAACCCATTTTTCGGTGACGCCTTCATCCTTTAGTAGATATAAAGGTGGTAGCAGAACATCAGCTTCCTCAAATTCAAACATCTCACCTTCGCTATCAGAATTTTCCACTAATATCTCCGGCTTATTATTGTTAAATAGACGTAAGGAGTTGAAACGATCAAAATTGTCAAGTACAACGGCACACTTATCCATAATCGGATTTAAGTTGGATTCCCCGTGCTGCTGCTGGATTTGTAAATTGCCGCAACCACTGGCACCATTGTCCACAAGCAAATTGTTGTCATTATTATTACTTGTAGTAGCAGTAGAGACGTTAACTTCACTTTTGCTTGAAGTCGAATGGGATGAACTTATATTGTTTACTTGGTTCTGTTGCTTTTGATTTTTATTCAATGTCATCTGAGTGGTATTGAATGAACTTCTACGTAAAAGAGCTCGATTCATATCACAAGTAGATACGGGAGCACCCTCGAACACATCGTAGCCGCATATACTTAGATCTGGAAAGGATGCGTACTTTAGTATTATTGCATTTTTTTTTTTACACTCACTTTACCAAATATCTGCCAAGGGCCCAAAAATTTCCAAGGTGTACGTTCGGGCCCTGTAGTTGCTTGTACATCAATTAAATGATTTCTTAAAATATCACGCATCGTTGTGCTTGAAGCTAACATTAATGGCGTTTGACCTGCAAACACAATAACATTTACTTTTGTTAAAACAAATGAATATAATTGGCAGGACAGGACATCAATTCGAAATTCATGTTGCTGTCAAATGTTTTAGCATAATAATTTAGGTTTCTGATGAAACAAAACATATATAAATAAAAATATATTCGATCCATACCATGGGGATAGTGGATAATGTGAAAGTATTAGTAATGAGAGATAGTTATAGATGAGTAATCGATAATGAAAAACATACAATGCATGATTAGCAACGCCCAGAAGGAAACATCAGAGTATATATATTCTTAATCAGCATCAAATTCTAAATCGTCTTAAGCATTTCCATCAGTCCGTCTGTCCAATATCTGTTGTAAACATTCTCCTGGCCGCAAAAATCAAGCTCTGGAATTGAAATTTTGCACAAACATTGGAAGTTCTGGCACGCAGGTTGGTATTGAAAATGGGCCAAATCAGTCAAAGTACACGCCTGCAGCACCGCGTAAACTGAAAACATCTCCGTTTCTCAAAAGGTAGGAAAAATTGATTTTTTGCTCACTACTCATAAACTACAGCAGATATATGTACACAAATTTGAAAGCATACGCTATGAACGATGCTAGAGAATTCGTGCACAAAAATGGAAAAAATAGACCGCCTCTATCCAATATTATAATGTATCAAAATTGAATTATTTTTTCAATAACTTTATAACGCACAGAAACAAGCTTCAAACATTCTCTATAAAGTATATAAATTCTTGGCCAGTTTCAAATTTGGAATGCATCTAAACATGTCCGCTTATTTCTCTGTCCATCTGTCCGCTTGCGCCACTTTGTAGCATTTGTGGTAAATATTCTCCCGTGAAGGAAAATGAAGATATCGCCAACAAATTTGTAGAAGAGTTCGGAATTGACTTAAACTTTTCAAAGGATATGCCTACAATGCCCACATGCTTATACGACAAAAA